GGGGCGGCTTTTCCATCTTGACCAGCATTTATTGAGTTCTTTCTACATGTCACACACTACCACTACACTAACGTCCTTCCATTTAAGAAGGTTCTCATTTATTTCTTAGAACAAGTCTACAAAATGTTATGAACTGCATCCTACAGGTCCTTGGGGGTGGGGGGAAGGGGATGTCACCTTTTAAGTTACTTGGAAGTAGAAATCAACAGAGCTGGAATCCCAGTGCTATTCCCCCACTGCCCAATGCCACCTTTTTTTTTTTTAATATCACAGAAGCTTCACTTGTTCTTTATAATCTGGGTGAGTCTGGCCCCTGCCATGCAAGGCTGGGTTAAGGTGGACGGATGTTAACTCTCAGGCTGGCTCTCAAAGGCTAATCGAGGTTTGGTGTATGAGTGATCAAAGTCCCGCGTGATCCACAGTGGTTCCTGACTGCAGGCAAGATGCCCACTTGGACCCCACTGGCTGATTTCTTTGGAGAGGGCCCCTCCCCCATGCTTCACTGGGGCAATCCCGCCACGAGTGAGTGGATCGAGAGAACCAGCCCTTTGGCGTTGGGACTGCCCCAAGTGTACCACTTTTACAAGTAATGCTTTACACAGGCTCTGATCAGCCGAGTCACACCTCCTGCTTTGGTGTTACAAATGTTCTTGAAGGTTCAATTTGAAGGAAGGAATCTTAGAAATTAAAAAAAGCACAGATGCAGATCATAACCAGCAAACACTCAGACTTTAAACATGAATGGTAGCTGAATAGTGTTATATTTACACCATCAGCTGATGGGATGCCATGGACACTAAAGAAAGGCTGTTCTGGTCAGTGTGACAGTCACATTAAGATGTGATATTTATTAAGCTTTGCAGGCAGCTACCATTAAAGTAGAGGACATTTTCCACCAAACAGGAAAGACAAAACAAATACTCTTATGCATCAATAAAACGCCATTGCTGCCTGCGTGGAAGGAAAACGAGACACAATTTATTTCAGGGAAACACCACGTAAAATGATGACTCTCTCTTGCCAAAACCCAGGCTCCTAATGATATGGACACCCACAAATCTAAGAAAACTGTTCTATCCTGTGTAGCCAAACAAAACAAAACAAAACAAAAACAAAGGTCAGTGTATAGCATGAAACTCAAAGAAGAGATTAAACGGTCAGGTTCAATTAAGTCTACAGATAGGAGAGTGAGGTGCTAAGTACAGCTGCCCGCCCCTGTCCCCTGGGTAACTCCCTCAATTCCAAAGCCAGCAGCAAGAGCTATTTTTAATCCCCGGGCTCTGGGCAGCTGAGTGCAGTAGAAAAAGATATCCGAATGCAGAGGCAGGAGGGCGCTCACACCGGCGAACTCGCCTGTGCCCGAGCAGCTGGGCAGGGAAAGAGCACGATTCGGAGATCACACAATGGCCAAAATAGCCCAGGTTTGAGGGTCAGGCAGGGGTTGCTTTTATAGGAAGTCTCTTCCCTGTCTTTGAACTTAGCCAGCACCCAGTTCCAAGAGCTATTTTAGGTACACTCTTAGGGCTACTTCTATCCTCTCGCCCACACTGAGGTCCAGGAATGGAGAGAGGAGGCAGAAGAGACAGAAGAGGCTGGATTGATTGACTGGGCTTTACTGCTCGCTCTGACTTCCGTGGCTTGGGGAGCCAGCTTCCAAGAAAGCAGGATTGAGCGGGCGTCAGAGCTGTGGCTATATTTACTCCCTCCAGATGCCCAGTTGCTGAGGGTTTCACATTCACAAACAGCAGGAGAAGATGCTTCCAGAGGGACCGTTTTTCGCATGGTATTTATTCCAGGCTTCTCTGGGATGATGTCAGCATTCCCTTCTTTTTGATGAAGAAAAAAGAAAAAGGGGGGGAAGAAAAGACGCAAGAGTTGTGGGGGGAGGTGCAATTCTCTGCTGCCAATGGAGTAAAGGGTTATTTTCTCCCCTGCACAAAAGGGGTGCTCTGTCTGTCCTGCAGTGAGGTTGGTGCCTGAGAAACAGACCACAGTCACCCAGCACTCCACCAGGTAACTGTGAGTGGAAGAGCCCTTGCATCCCTGATCCGCCTCCCCAGGGCCAAAACAGAGCAAAAGTTTATTAACGGAGTTGGGTATCTGAAACTCCAAAGTCCAAAAGATGCTTTTGTCCTGAAATTGTTCTCAGTGCCAACACCACAGCACAGTGAAAAATTCCACCTGGGGGCCTCATGTGACAGATTGTGGTCAAAGGGCAGGTATGCTAAAATACTGTATATAGTTTCCTTTAGGCTCTGAGTGTGGGGTGTTTATTACACGTGAGTTTTGTGCTTCGATTGGATCTCTTCCCCACGGTCTCTCACTGAGTCTATGCAAATACCCCAAATCTGAAATCTGAAACACTTTTGGCTCCAAGCATTTAGGACAGGGGATAGTCCACATCAACTAGGAGAAGGGAGGCATTTGGCTAGTTTGGGCAGTACAGCTTTCTGTGCCTCAGTTTCCCTGTCTCAAATTAGGGGTAATAACAGATCCTTCTCTAAGGGCCAATGGTTGTGAGGACTTAATCAGCTAGCAGGTGGAAAGTGCTTAAGATGGAATCTGGCACTGGCTGCTCTTGTGACATCAACTCAAAGTGCCATCGTGACTCTCTATTGTTCCCACCATAGGGACAGAATTTTAAATAAAGATTTGGAAAATGATAAAAGACTGCTCCTTAGAATCGAGCATTTGATACTTTTTTTTCTCTTTAAGACAGGGTCTTGCTATATAGCTCAATGTAGCCTCAACCACACTATGTAACCCATGCTGGACTTGAACTCATGATCTTCCTGCCTCAGTCTCCCGAGTGCAGAGATTGCAGGTGTGCACCACCAAGCTGGAAGGGCTTGAATGTAGCCATTCTGCAGTTTGCACATGGTGCCTCCCAGTCCCCCTCCCAGCTATGATTTCTGTCAAATTATTCTCCT